TAGCATTATTCTTCTCAGTCGCACTTCTGTAGTTTCGTGTCTGTATCTAGCTGAGCAGACCTTGGACAGGATTGCACTTCCCAACTGTTTGCTGTTATCCTGCCATTCACATCAGCTTGTGCTTACTTGTGTGGTGTGACACAACGGATAAAGGTTGACTTAACTGTCTGTGAACCCACAGCAATGTGAGTACCTGAATTGGTGCAGGCTGTAGGTCCTATGACAGTGCATCCTTAGAACAAGTGAAGTCCTATAAGTCACCAACCCTGACATTAATCCAACTCCGATCTTAAGGTTCTTGAGTAGATTTGTAGCTCAGATTGTGGATGCTGTGGTTGGCTCTCTCACCAAGCTGGTTCGTTAGTTTGCAGACGTTTCATTACCCTGCTGGGTAACCACTACGAAGGAAAAACCGGAAATGAGATAATCAAATCCAACACACACCAGAGTTTAAATACCAGGCAGCAAACCACATCAGCACTTCATCGGAGGCTGCACTGATGATGTTATCCAGCAGGGTAATGAAATGTCTGCGAGCTAACAAACCAGCTTGGCGAGCGAACCAACCACAGCAACTCTGATCTTGTAATCAAACCTACAGACAAGATAGTGCTGTTGTTGTCTGGCACACTGACCTCTGCATTGCGGAGGCTGAGTGCCAGCTCTTGGACACTGCCTCCTCCTATCTCCCCGAGCCATGACCGCACCATTGAACACGAGGCCATTGTGTTCATGACGGTTACTAATCTAATTTCATTTGGTGATCTCAACCCCACCCACCCCCCCACGCCTTTAAGCTTATAGTCCCCCAACCCCGCGTAACTTGATTCTACTTTCTTCCCAAAATTCAGAAACAGGACTGCCCGCCCGGACCCATTGTTTTTGCCTGCTGCTGCCCCACAGAACTTATTTCTTCCTACTTCTACTTGACTTTTTTTCTCCTCTTGTCCAGTCCCTTCCCACTTAAATCTGCAATCTTCTGACACTTTACATCAGTTTCAGAATATCCAGTTTGCAGGCTCCAGCCACCTCTTCTTTACTGTGGATGTGCAATCCTTTATGCATCCACCCCCCATCAAGAAGGTTCACTTCTTCCTGGAAAAAAGGCCTGAACTGTCCCCATCCAACACCTCACTCGTCTGCTTGGCGGAGCTCATCGTCATTTTGAACATCTTCTTCTTTAACTCCTCTCACTTTCTTCAGGTCACAGTTATGCCTGTCTCTTTGTGGGGTATGTGGAACATTCCTTGTGTCAATGCTACCTGGGCCTCCACTCACAGCTTTTTTTTTCTTCTGTACATCAATTAGATCATTGGTGTTGCTTCCCACTGTCATCTGGAATTGGAAAAGTTTATCAATTTCACTTCCAATTTGGACCCTGCTCTCACCTTCACCTGGTCCATCTCTGACTCCTCCCTTCCCATCCTCAACATCTCTGTTTCCATTTCTGGGGATAAGCTGGCCAGCATTGTCAATTACAAATCCACCGACTCTCAAAGTTACTTTGACTATATATCCTACATGCTGCTTCCTGTAAAGACTGTATTCCATTCTCCTAGTTTTTCTGTGTCTGTTGCATCTGTTCTGATGATGCCAACTTTAACAAAGGGGCCTCCAAAATGTCTACCCTTTTCCTCAACCAAGGATTCCTCGCCACCTTGGTTGACAGGGCCCTCAATCGTGTCTGACTCACCTCCTACACTTTGACCCTCACCCCTTCTCTTCATTGCCACAACAGTGATAGGGACCCCTGGTCCTCAGTTACCACCCCAACAGTATTCGCATACAAACGGACATTAGTCACCATTTCTGCCACCTCCAGAGGAATGCCACCACCAGATACACATTCCCTCCTCTCCCTTGTCAGCCTTCCACTGGGACACCTTGGTCCACTCCACCACTCAATGCTCCCCACACCCCCATGGCACCTTCCTATCCAAAAATTGCAGAAGGTGCAACACCTACCTGTTTACATCCTCCCTCCTCACTCTCCAACGTCCCAGACACACCTTCCAGTCAAGCAGTGATTTACCTGTACTTCACTCAATCTAGTTTACTATATTCACTGCTCACAATGTGGTCTGCTTTACACTGGGGAGGCGAAATGCAAACTGGCGACTGCTTTGCAGAACAGTTACGTTCTGTGCACAGAAATGACTCTGAGCTTCCTGTTGCCTGTTATTTCAACACAGCACTGTGTTCCCTGGACAACATCTTTGTCTCTGGCTTGCTGCACTGCTCCAGTAGAGCTCAGTGCAAGCTGGAAGGACAGTAGCATGGGTATCCTGGGTATCCTGCAACCTTCAGGACTCAATTTCGAATTCACAAGTTTGGGGTCTGAGCACCTTCTCCCATGTCCTTACCCCAATTCTCTCTCACCAGTTCTTGCCATCACATGGGCTGCTACCACAACCAACCCATTGTTGGTCATTCATGGTCCCTATTAGCAGCTATTGATTCACCCAGGCTGATGTTTACCCCAAGTGTTTTTCTCTCTCTCTCCTTGGTTCTATCTCCACCAATCCTTTTTACTCTTCCCTCATCCCCCTTCTCCCTGCACCAGCACCAACCCACCCCCCGCACCCATGCAAACTTCAGCATATATGCCAACATTTTTCTGGCTAAAGTCAGTTTTGAAGAAGGGTCCCTGGACTTGAAACGTTATCTCTGCTTTCTCTCCACAGCTGCTGCCAAATCTGAGTTTCCCAGTAATTTTTGTTTTTGTTTCCTCTATGGGATCACCTTCATGAATATCCTGCAGTATTAGCTGTACACATGAAGGCCCTGGAAGATATACGAACATGATTCAGTAGTCACAAATTCTCAATCATGACAATCATCACTATAGTTCAGTAATTGGTGAAATGAAATCAGCACATCTGTCAGCACAAATGAGACATTTGTAATTCTGTCACCAGTTATCTGTGAGTTCTCTGTCTGTCTCTGACTCAGAGCAGCACAGAATATGCCACTTACCTTTAGGGCTTTCTCCTCTGCATCAATGAGCTAGGCTATTTGTGGCAGGCCATGTTTAGTCTTTGCCCTTTCCCTTGTGTTTTTAACCTTCGTCTATAAGTAGGTAGGAAAACAGACCTACAAATCGTTGGAAATATTTACCTTACCAGCGCAGTGGCTAAATTTGTGGTGCCTACAAAAATGAAGACTGTGTACAGCTGAATGGATGTATGATTTTATGACCAGACCCCAGGTGACGTTCCCCAATTCATTGATATTTCAGGCGGGATATGCTAAACAGTTAGGTTCCTGGGTGAATAGGGACGATGCTGGCTACCTACTTCTTTATTCATCAACCTTCTTGGTAGGCAGCAACAAGGTTAATTTAGAAAGCATCCTTTCCCTTTGGGTACTTTTTCCTTAGATCAAAATGAACTCCTGTTTTGAATTTATGGTGCGAGAATTCTGTAATGATTAAGAACATTAAAGACCGCACTGTCAGAACTTCCTGAATGCATTTTTGTAACTAGCTGCTTGGTTTTCTAGAAATACATGAAATTTTAAGAGCAGTAAAGGACAATTTGGCCCAACAAATCTGCTTTTGTTTCATTGATGCAAAGATATAGGAAGATCATTCATCTTTCACTTTCAAAGCCCATCTGGTATCTAGCGTAATAGCCTTCTTGGTGAATTATTCTGCATCTCTAACCTTTTTGTGTAATAGTTTATGATTTAATTCCTAAAGAATAATATAAATCTCACTTTTTCAACATAATACCTAATTTTACATTTTTATTTGGTGTGACCAGTTTATCTAGCACAATTTCAACAATTCCTTTTATAGTTTTGAAAATTTATGTTAGGCCACTTTATTACAAAAACAATAAGAACATCCTTCAGTTTCTTCATGAATGTGTTTGGGATTTTCTCTAACAAAAAGTAATAACTTTCCTACAAGTCCCAATTTTGGTTCCAGTTTTGTGCTGAGTTAGCAGCTAATAACAATCATAATAATGGTGGGAGTAATGAGAGGGGAAGAAAAAGTTGGAGTCTATATTCTTGACTTTTGCTTGGATTGAACATCTTGAATCTGTAGATGAAAAATTAACACTTGGGCATTCATTCCCAAGGACTTTGAAGAGTCAAATAAAGAAAATTAAAATCAATGTTCTCTATGTATGGCTGTGCATACAATGAATGTTATGCTGAGATGGCCTCTTTAGGCAAATTAAGTCCAGAGATGCAATGTGATGTACGAATTTGTATCCCAAATTTGTCTTTTTAACATGAAATTTGGCTACAATTTCTGAACAAGCACAAGTGATATACAGCAAGCTTTGTTTTGACTGGCACCTTCTCAACCAGCACCCTTGATAAGCTGGCAAGAATTATATACCTTAAATACCGCAATCTACAGTGATGTCCAAGTATTTGTGCTGTAAATAAAGTATAACAGTGATGTGTACACCCCCTGCATTATGTTTCAGTTATTTACTGTGTGATTTTACATTGCTTTTAGGAGGCACGTTGATGTTTTTATTTAGTTTTTTGAGTGATGTTGAAGCTTTGCTTGGTCAGCGTTTACTATGGTTATGCGTGCCTCTTGATTATCTGGAATATTTTATCATTCGGCACACTCCTGGTCCCAAAGTTACCAGTTAATGAAAAGTTTGTTGTACAGTAAATCCTTTGTATTCGTGAAATCATGAATCGCAAATTCGCCTGTCTGCACCAATAAATAAGTAACAACAAAGGTCAGCATCTGTCGGCAAAAATAGCGAATCCACGATTTTCACCTTGTTATTACCCTATTTTTAAATGAGCTCCACAATATTGGATTTCATTAATTGAGGAGTGTCTTGGAAATGAAACTCACATGAATACAGAGGGGTGACTACATGTGATATTCCTTTATCATGTCATCTTATAAAATGATGCTGTTTACTTCTGTTGCTTAATATTCAGTTGTTATCTGCAAAATAGAAGTGTTTGGATAGGTAAGGCGACCCTGTACTAATCAGTGTCTTTTCATTGCTTAGGTATCCTGGTCAGACATTGGAGGGATGGAAAACGTGAAACTGAAACTCAAGCAGGCTGTTGAGTGGCCACACAAACACCCTGAATCCTTTACCAGAATGGGGATTCAACCTCCAAAAGGAATTCTGCTTTATGGGCCTCCTGGATGCTCTAAGACAATGATAGCAAAAGCTTTGGCCAATGAGAGTGGACTGAATTTCTTAGCCGTGAAGGTAATACTGCACAAATTGAAAAGTTTTTTTACAGACATTGCATCAAACGGACCAAGGTGGTGCCCGTTTTCCGGTTCAGTTATTGAAAGCTCCATTTTAAAAAAGTGTAATGCAAATGTCTTTTAAAAATAGCACAATTTAGTTTTGCTATTAATAGAGAGTTATTGAAATGGATGCCCATGTAGAAGTTATAGGTGAACAGCAACCCAAGCTTTTAAAACAACCGAAGACATTTCACAGTAAAATAATCAAAACACAATTGACACTGTGTCTGAGAAGATTTTGGGACTATTCTTGCAATGTAATTATAAGGCTACTGTTATCCCATGTAAGGGGATCAGGGGTTACGTGGAAAGGCAGGAGAAGGGGTTTGAGAAACACATCAGCCACGATCGATTGGCGTAGTAGTCTCAATGGGCTGAATGGCCTAATTCCATTCCTGTATTTTGTAATCTTAATGCATTTTTTTTTAATGTGCCCAAGGAAGTGTTTTACAGTGCACTAAGTAGCTGTAGTTCACTTCAATACCAATTGATTCATAAAAACAGAATAAGGTCCTGGAGAATGTTAGTGAACAAAGGGACCTTGGAGTGCAGGATCATTGTTGCTTGAATTGGAATCGCAGGTGGACAGACTAGTGAAGAAGGCATATGGTACGTTTGCCTTTATTGGTCAGTATAGGAGTTGGGGGGAGAGGGTGGTCATGATGCGGCATGAATAGAGTGAACAGCCAAGGCCTTTTCTCCAGGTAGGGGAGTCCAAAACTAGAGGGCATAAGTTTAAGGTGAGACAGGAACGAGTTAAAACTGACCTAAGGGGCAACTTTTTCATGCAGAGGGTGGTACGAGTATGGAATGAGTTGCCAGAGGAAGTGGTGGTGGCTGGTACAATTACAACATTTAAAAGGCATCTGGATGGATAAATAAATAGGAAGGGTTTGGTGGGATATGGGCCAAATGCTGGCAAATGGGACTAGATTAATTAAGGATATCTGGTCAGCATGGATGAATTGAACCGAAGGTCTGTTTCCACGCTGCACAACTCTATTACTCTATAATGCTGAAATGAGAGCTCACTGGCACAATTGGCTGGATTCTGCCAAATCACTCAACTCCAGAGCACATTCCAACCTTGATTTAAGCATAGATATAATCTAAAGTGTAGAGAAAAGGGAGGAGTAATTTTCTTGGCAGCATTCGACGAGCATAATGTGAAGGAGCCGGAGCAAAATTGATGTCAGTGGGTGTTAAGAAGATATCCCTCCAGTGGTTGGAATTCACATAAAGCTTTTGGTTATCAATCATTGCAGCTTTAAGATATTGTTGCAGTTTTTTTCTTTTTTCTTTCATGGCATATAGATATCTCTGGGAAGGTCAGTATTTCTTGCCCTCAAACTCAGTGGTTTGCTAGGCCATTTCATTGGGCAGTTAAGAGTCAACTATATTACTGTTTGGAGTCACATGTAGGCCAGACTGCACGAAGATGGCAGATTTCCTTCCCCAAACGATATTAGTGAACAATATAAAAGCAAAATATTGCAGATGCTAGAAATCTGAAATACAAACAGAAAATGCTGAGAAGCTCAGCAGGTCTGGCAGTATCTATGGACAGAATAACATAATTAATTAATTAATTAATTCTTCGGAACTGACAATAGTGAACCAGATAGGTTTTTACAACAATCAGTGATGATTAGTCAACATTACTGATGCTAGCTTTATATTCCAGTTTCACTTATTAATTTAGTTTATGTTTCACAACTTGTGATTTGAATTCATGCCCTAAAAGAATTATCCTGGTCCTCTGGATTACATGTGTAGTGAAATTACCACTTTACCACACAGTGTTTGGGATCAGTTTGCTTGCCCAACTATTTTGGATACTTCATTGGTGATATTCTCTCTGCCATAAAGTTAGAAGTAGAACTGTTAGCTGGTGAGTCCATGATATTCATCTCCAATCAATTCCTTGTGATAATGAAGCTGTACTTGTCAGCAGGATTTGGTCAACAACCAGACTCAGCTTTTCAAATAGTGAATAACATTTGTGCCACATGTCCAAGGAGTGACCATTTCCTACAAGGAACGGTCTAATCTGGCCTTCACTATTGCTGACTGCTTGCCTATTGACATAGGAGTTTAGGGACCATAATTAACCAGTTATACAAATTCTGTAGCAGTGAGTGCCAAGTGGCTCATATCCTCATTGTTTTCTACCATTACTCAAAAACCTCAGGTCAGGGAATTGATGGAAGACTCTCCAGTGGATGAATACAGCTGCAGTAACATTCCAGAAGTTTGACATCATTCAGGAGAGAGGATTCGCTCATACTTGTTGTCTGTACAATTTAACTTAATTTCTACCTCTAACGACACTAGTCCAGTGCTGCTGCAGGATTTATTACTTAGATGATGCACTGCAGTCACTTGCCAAACTTACTTGGACAGAAATTCCCAGCTTTGAGAGCAGCAAAACCACAAGAATACCACCACCTCTAAGTTGCCTTTCATATGTTACATTCGTAATGTACCTTTCAGGGATTTATGCATGTCCCATAGAGCTAACTAATATTTTTGCTTAAGGTGTTGTAGTTGTTTTACCTGAAACACTAACAGTAGCCGTGCCTTGTGTGAAACATTGATTTATTGTTAATGTAGATCATGTTTTCCTTTCTCCTTATTCTATCCATTTTCTTCTTTGCCCTGCTATAGGCATTGACCACTTGCTTGGGGTGTGGTTCCATAGGTGTTGGAGTCCCATCAAGTAATCATTATTTGTAAGTTAGTCTAAATTTTGCATGTCATCTCCTTTAACAAATACATGAAGCTCATGGTTTTCCTTTTTGTTGAAGATGAGAATCCTGTATTCATCTCCCCTTTCTGGCTCCCCATCACCAAGCAAGTGAACATTTCCCTCAACCTTCTCGTGCCTTAAACCTGAATTCACATCTTTCTCATTTTCTCTTCTCTTTTCCCTTGTGCCCACCTTGAACTCATTTTGTTCCATTTCCCTGTTCTCTTGACCCCATTCCTACAGCAACGCTGATCACCCATCTGTTCCTTCTGTTCAACAATTGCACTTCGCCCTTCCTAAATCACCATCACCCCTTTTCAAGAAAACCAACCTTGAATTATGTAACTTGAAAGCTATCACTCCACTTCCAAACTCCTTTCCTCAACTGATGCCTTTGAACACATGGTTGCTTCCCAAATTTTTCCCTGTAATTTCATGTTTGAAATTTCATGTTTGCCATTTCATGACTGGAAGAGAAATCTAAGAGGCCAAACAAAATCAAAAATGCCAGGTTTAGTAGCTAGAATCTTGGTACATTATTGTAAAATTGTAACCTCTGTAGGTAAATTGGGCAAATATTTGAAGTGGTGGATGCTGCAGGATTCTGGAGGAGTTGCTGGTGTTGGTGGAGTATAGGGCAGCAAAGTTCGATTTTATTGCTGTAGTGAAAAGCTAGCAGAGACACCAGCATCTTACGCTCACAGGTCCTGCCATGTTTGCACCTTTTACTTATAACGCCCATTTTCCAGTGCATTGTAATAATATAACCTTTCATGCATTCTTGTGTTTATGATTGATTTGCTGCAAACAAGTAATTAAGCGTAACTCGTCATTCATGACACAAAGTTAGGCGTCATTCTCGACAGTGCAGAGGATAGTCTATCGATATTCCTTTATAATTTGATGTTAAGTGAATGGGAAAAACTGTGACAGATGGAGTTCAATCTTATATATTAAGTCGACGTTTCAGCTCGGGACCCTTCATCAGGACTCCTGACGTCAAATTTCCTGCTCCTCTGATGCTGCCTAACCTGCTGTGTTCTTCCAGCTCCACACCGTATTGACTCTGACTCCAGCATCTTCAGTTCTTGCTATCTCCTGATGAGTCTTTGAATCTGCTGTCTCAATTTTGGTGCTAGCCTCCAAATGTTAATGTTGAGGATTTTGCAGGATTGATAGGCTTTGCTATTATTGTTTCTGGTACCTGGGTTGAGGCCAGATGGCCAGTCCTGTTTCATTTTTTTCTTGAGACTTTGTAGCAGTTTTGATACAACAAAGTGGCTTGATGGATCATTTTAAAGGGTATGTAAGATTCAGTCACATTGCTGTGGGTCTGGAGTCACTATAGACCAGACCAGGTAAAGGTCCCAGATTTCTTTCCCCAAAGCGCATTATTGAATGAAACAAGCTTTGAATTCCAGATTTTACTGAATTCAGTTTCCACCATCTGCCATGATGGGTTTAAAGCCCATTTCACCATAACATTAGTGTGGAGCTATTGATTACTAGTCCATTGACATTATCAATGTGTCACTGTCTCACCAATTAATAATTCAACATAAAATGGAAAACTATAGGGAGCAAATGATTATGCATTATTAGTGATCTTGATGTGCTGCATACAGCCTGTTTCATCAGTTTATTCTTTTATATTTTTGTTATTGCTCGTCTTGATAAGCTAGATGGTTGAACTGTTGATTGTGCGCTCCCAGGTGCCTTGTACTGCAGTAACTGGCAGCTGGATGCTTTGGTCTTGAACACCAAGACGGAGAGACTGTTTATTGAGTTACCATTTGATATTCATCAGTCACATTAATGACCAGGATGGAAAATTACTCTAAGGGGAAATCTCTCAAATTCTTCACTCATTTATAATTAGCTAAGGATTGGGTAGGGACAGGAATTGTGATAGCGTAGACTTGTGCTTGCCAACAGTAGAATGGGGATTAAAACAAGGTACCACGATATTGGATCAGAGATAGTAGGAACTGCTGATGCGGGAGAATCTGAGATAACAAGGTGCAGAGCTGAATGAACACAGCAGGCCGAGCAGTATCAGCGGAGCAGAAAAACTGACGTTTCAGGTCTGGACCCTTTTTCAGAGATGCTATGGTCTATAGTGACTCCAGATCCACAGCAATGTGACTGAATCTTACATTTCTGAAGAAGGGTCCAGACCCGAAACGTCAGCTTTCCTGCTCCTCTGA